TTGGCTTCCCTGCCGGCATCCTCCATCTCAACTCTCCTCATGTGTAATGGGCTGCTTACCATGGTGAGATGGTGACTGTATCATGCATCTCAAGCCATCAAGACAGTGTTCCGGGAAAGGGAATTCTACCCAGAGGGGTCTGTGGTCAGGAGAAGCTCCTCCGGGAAAATACCAAGGCCTGCCAGAGGCTAGCGGCAGGCTGAACAACCCAGGATAAGTGGAACATGCAGCCTGCCCTTACCCCCTTCCTACCCTGCTGCACATCTGAGTTCACCTCATTTTAAAGACTGCTATGTTACGGACCCGGCAGGCTAGTGTGTGTCAAACATAAAATAAAATAAAACCCTGACAACAAAAATTACTATTCAAAGAGAAGTATTATTTTAGGGTGACATTATTTTTGAGATTCACAGTTTTCATTTGTTATTACATGTAGGAGTTCTGTGAACACACAGATAAGAGGGCACAATAGATATTTGACAGTGTAGTTCTCAGAACATTTGCATATCCAAGAGATTATTTCAACAAGTATACTTAGACTGACCCTATTAACCATTCACAATATTTTGTCTTGAATCCAATTCACACTCTATAGACATGTCCAATTCATATTTCATCTCTTACACTGTTTTCCCTTTCAGACTTTGTATTAGGAAATAAATCCATAACATCAAATTTCATGACAACATCTGCTCTGGCTGACATGATTTGAAAGGGAATTTCACTCATCCCAGGTTATGCTGTCTCTTAATTTGCTCTTTGGCTTACAGGAGAAGCAGCCTGTTTTATCAAGCCCTGTGTTGAAAGAGTGAGTTCCTGATGCAGAAGTCACAACCAGCACTGGCCTTAGCAATGCTGAGGGGTGCCTGTAAAGGATCCCCTGAAGCCATGGTATAACAGGATAGCTAAAGAGGAATCCCAGCGAGCATGGCTTTGTAATGTATGTCTAGGCCAGATCTGATAAGCAAACAGGCATAGCATCCAAGATCAAGGTGGCTCAGAGTACATAATGTACAGTGAGTGACCTTTTAATGAAAAAAAAAAAAGTGATGATCAAAATATATTTAGAGACTAGGTTTTACAGCACATGCCTTCAATCCTAGCACTCAGGAGGCAGAGTATCTCTGTAAGTTTGAAGCCAGCCTGTTCTACCAGAAAGTTCCAGGCCAGCCAGGACTACATAGTGGGGTCATGTTTATCTGTCTGTCTGTCTATCTGTCTACCTACCTACCTTTCTCCATATATGTGGCTGAGGAGACAGTTCAGTAGGACTGGAGTTCAGATACCAAGAACCCATGTAAAAGCCAGGAGGGTATGGCAGCCTGACTATAATCTCAGAATACAGGAGCTGGAGACAGGGGATGCTCAGAGCTCTAGGCTCAGCAGGAGACCCTGGCACCATATATGATGTGAAGAGCCATCAAGAAAGACACCCAACATCAACCTCTAGCCTCCACACGTATGTACATACACACAGACACAGGCACACACACACACACACACACACACACACACACACACACACACACGAACTCACACATACACACATGCATACCACAGATACAGACATATGCACATATAAATAGGAATTGAGATACTCGCACATTTATGTCCAGCATTATTGCATTAGCCAAAAGACAGAAACAGCCCATGTGCCTAACAATTAATGAATGGATGAACAAAATGTATATGTACAATGGAATATTAGTTACCCTAAAAAAAAGAATTAGGTTCACTTACATGTTCTAACAAGGATAAACTCTTAAAAGCGTTATACACAGGGAAGTATGCCAGGCACAATAGAAAAAATATTGCACAGTATCATTTATATGAGCTGTCGAGAAGAAAAAAAAAAAAATTGTAGAGAAAGAAAGTGGATTAGAGATTTCCAGGGACGGGGGCTGAGGTGGAGGAGGAGGCGGGAAGGACATATTGCTTAATGAAGACAGAGTTTCTGTTTATGGTGATGAAAAATCTTAGAATATAATGATAGTTGCCTAACATCATGAATGTGATTAATGACCTCGAAGTACACACTTGAAAGTCATTAAAATGGGAGGCCAAGGAGATGGTTTAGCAGGTAAAAGTGCTAGAACAAGCCTGGTGGCCTGTGTTTGATCCCTGGAACCCAGGTACCAAGCCAGATGCAGTGGTGTGCATCTGTAGTTCCGGCACTCCCGTGACAAGGCGAGGCTGCGCAGAGGCCGGCCAGCCAGCCCGGAGTGTGTAGCCTGGAAGCAGAGGCAAGAGAGACCCTGCCTCAAAGTCAAAGGAGAGAGCCCGTTCCTGAAAGTTATCTAGATAAAGCCTAAAGCCAGAATGCAACTGAAAAGGATCATCAAAGCTGCAAGGCGGGAAATAAACAGGAGGTAGAGGAAAACAAAAAACAAACAGACAAACAACAACAACATAATTAATTAAAAAAAAACAACACCAAAGTCTGTCTGTTGCTGGGCTTCTGTCCCAAGCATTCCAGAAAGCACTATACCCCATTCTTCTTTTTTGCTTGGGCTCCTTCGATGGATGTGGGAGTTTGTTTATAACATGACCGTGCCTTTCAAGATCTCATCATCTATGTCCAGGGCAAAGGTTCCAGCCTTGTTTGCCTGAGGCCCCTCTGGGCCAATATGCCTGACAGGGGATGAGCTCCCTGAAGCAAGCTCACTTGCAGATAGCACCCCAGCCTAGAGGAAGAGATTCAACATGAGGTCACATGTTCTGCCTGTTTTCCAGCCTGTCTCCTCCCACCAAGCTACCCTTGGCTTCTGCTCCTTACTTACTAGGAACTCTGTTTTCATTGTCTTAGGAAAGTGAAGGGACAGTGGAAGATCCTGTGAAAGGATGCCAGTCCTCTAAGACCCAACCCATTCTCAGCCCCACCCCCCAGCTCCTGCTCGCTGTCATGGGGAGGGAGGAGTCTACTTTTCTGGAACCGTTTTTGGGGAGCCCAAAGCTGACACGGGCAGCAGAAGCAGGCAGGAGGGCAATAAAGAAGTTTCCAGATCCGCAGGGGACTGTAATCACATTCCCCAACCAGGTGCTGGGAGTAAGGCTAGAGTCAAGCCAACCTTCTTGGCTGAGAGCCAACATTTCCAGGCCTCCTTCCATGCCGCCACTGCTCCTCGCCGTCATCTTCCCAACCAGAAGCTTGTTAACTGTTTTCCTGGGCTCTTATTCCAATTTCAAGGCCCCCTCCGTGTGTTAAACTTCAAAGAAACTTTGTCGCCCCGAGTGCAGTGTTATATAACAAGTTGGACACTCCAAATGGCTCTGTTGAAAGTGGTTTGTTCAAATGAAGGGGCCCTGAACACTTAGTTATTCCCCGCCCCCCTCAGCCCAATAAAATTGCCTTGGTGTCTGGATTAAGTGGCTGAATATCAATCCTGAAAATTTTAAAGATGAAAAGCAGAACCGCCTCACTAATAGTTAAAATGTAAAATGATTACAAAATGGCACCTGGCCAATATTTATGAATCGTTGAATATGATCATAAAATCATAAAAAATAATCACCAAAAGGTAAATAAATTACCCGGCTTACTGCTTATTTTCGCGTAGGGTCTGCCACAAAAGCTGCAGCCATGAATGATTTATACCTGTTTTAACAATAATACTCATTTTACTGAAAGATGGTCAGCACTTGGGCTGCTGCGGGCAACATGCCAGTTGTCGAAAGGTTGATGTTTCAGCAACAATACATTAAATTATGAATAATACTGGTCCCAAAATGGAAGGTTATTAGCTCAGTATGCTTAATTAGCCCAGCTAGAACTTGGCTATCAAGTAGCAGTGCCCATTTCCAGGGCTGGAGCTCTATGATGGGGGATGGTTGGGCTGCTAATGGTTCAGAGAGAGGGAGGCGGCATGGAGGCGTGTCTTTGACTTCCTTTTCATCCCTGAACACAGAAGCTGGCTTTGGGGATTTCGAACTTTCCTGTCATGTATCTTGCAAACACTTCTGAGAGGGAAAGAGGACACGTTGTTGGGGAGGAGGTTGGTGCTCGGTCTCGTGGCCACCAGCTGTGATCCCATTCCAAGGTTCTTGGTTGCTGCTAAGCCTGATCCTGCCAAAATCATATGACGTACCGCACATAGGTGGGCAGACCACCGGCCCTCCCTTCAGACAGGTATTTATTGGACAGTTACTTTGAGACAAATGAAGTGACAGAGTGAGCAACCACCAAGCCAACCTCAACTATGCAGTTTTGCGCCGATCATAGTCTCACGGCTCCAATGAAGCATGGGTTTAGAATGTCCATACCTGGCCTGGAGTTGGGATATGGATTCTTTAGAGCAGGCTTCTATGTGTTCTGTCTTCCATTTTGGAGATGGAGCCTTATGTACCTCAAGCTAGCACAAAATTGCTATTGCTATGTAGCCGAAGATGACCTGGAACTTCTGATCCCCCTGTCTCTACCTCCCTAGGCCTGGCATTATAGGCACGTGTTACCACACCTGTTTATGCCATACTTGGGATCGAACCTGGGGCTTTGTGTGTGCTAGGCAAGGACTCTACCAACTGAGAGACATCCCAAACCCCTTATTTTGTCTTTAAAGGGATCTCCTAAAGAGGTGGCGTAGAAATCACCCCATGCAGCCAGAAAGAATGCTCCAAGAGAAAGGTCAAATACTGCTTGAAGGAACTGACAGGCACTTACCTGCTAGGGCCATAGGAGAGCAACTGAGTGCCTTGTGTGTCCTCACATGTACACATGGGCGCTACATTGAACCCCACACCTCTCTCTGTCCTCTGCCCCATTTTGGCATCTCTCTGCCAGGTGCTCCAGGATCATACTCCAAGTTTGCAGCCAGGATGCGCCCATGCCATGCCAGCTCCATCTGCTAGAAGGGCGCTGTCTGCACCACTGCTCGGCTATACTTAGTACTGTTAGTAGCTTGTTTTTCTAAGCCCTGAAATTCATTTTCTTTTCCCGCCTTGCTTCCAGAAAAATAAATAAAAGTGAACACATCACTCATTTAAGACGAGGAATGGAATTTAGGTTGCGTTTTTCTTTCTATTTTTATGATTAGTTAGAATTTTCCTGGGAACGCTGCCAGGAGGGCATTACAGTGAGATAATGTCCTGTATTTAATCGGAACTGCAATGGCGGACTGCGTTCGGTGGGGAGAGGCTGAGTTAACGCATCCTTTCTGTCTTGTCTGTTTTCAAGGGACAACCAACCACTTGGCCCAAGATGAAGATGAGCCTGAGAGATGAGGAAGATGGCAGGGTTCCAGGCTGGTGTGGTGGCCTGCAGGTGGACAGGGTGCAACTGTGACTCCATCTCCTCACACGGGACCTGAGAATCCCCAGAAGAAGCTGAGTGCAAAAGGCCTCCCCCCAAGCCATCCAAGGAGCTCAGCTGTGGCTCTGCATCCACTGGGCTCTTCCGGCATCTTCTTCTGCAACTGTCTGGCATCTGCGGGCCAGGGTACACTTCTGGCTTCCAAATGAACATCTGTCCCTCCTGGTAAAGCAGTCACAGTGGGCAAGGCCTTTAAGTGAACTTGGAAGTGCATGCCAGGTAGGCCAGATCATCTCCTTGACTTAAGTGCTTGTGTGCCGTTTCCCTGAGAGCCTCTGGGGTGAGCGCAGCTGGCTGCGAGCTGGGCTGGTCTCATTGTCGGAGCTGTGTGCTCCATCGCTGTCTACTGAAAGGAGATGCCTGGAAGTGGTGAAATAGAAAGGGATCTCTTAGAAAGATGTCCTAGAGAGATGTCTGAAAGGAAGGAAGGACAAAGGAGAAGGCCTTTAACGTGCAGAAAGGGAGCCTGAGACTAAGTGGATGTTGTGGGTCAGCCTTTCGCTGCAAAAAGCAGGGTGGTCAGGGAAGCAAGAGTGAGAGGTACAGAAAGCCTCTCAGATTTACTGTTGTCCTCATTAAAGCCCAGTCTGCAGGAGCCGTCTGTTCAGGTGAAGGCAGTGGAGAGAACAGGATGCCCCAAGCAACCCATAAATAGCAGGTGAAGACAACGTGTTTATTACTTAGCCTTATGAAGCCCATATAAGTGCTCTCCCAGGGTGCGAGAGTGCAGGAGCCTGTGTGTGCGCCATTGGCCCACGTGTGGGTCCCTGGAGTGTGAGTCCCAGACACCGTGTTCGCGCTTGGCTTGACTCTATGAAGGCATCCATTTGATGGAATGTACCGGAACAGTTCACAGTCGGCCCAGCAAAACCTTGTGGGGAGACAGCTTGCTTTTTCTCTTTCCTTTTCCTGTTTGCAGTGAGAACAGGGCCTTTCTCTTTCTCAGCTCTTTGCTCTCCCCAAAGTTGTCTCACGAGGTCATTGCCAGATGAGAGGCTTCCTTTCAGCGCAAGGTTGGATGGAAACAATACTCTGTTTTCTGGGGGGCTGGGATGATTCTGGGCCAGACTAGCCTGCTCTAAATTTAAATGGGCTATTGTTTTAGTAGGACTGATGGTTTCTTCAGACAGTTGGGGCTATGTAATATGAAACTTCATTTTGCATTTTGTGTGTGTGTGTGTGTGTGTGTGTGTGATGTTTTTTTGATCAATACAGAGTATTAGAGAGGATAGGTCCAAACCCTGGTTTTAAGCTAGGTTGTATCATTCACTAATTCTGTGTCCTCTGACACATTGCTAAGTGACTCACCCTTCTTAATCCAGACTTATCTATCTGTATGATACTTTCTGGGGCTGAGGTATAGCTCCAGTTGTACTTACCTAGCATGTCAGAAAGGCTGGGTTCAATCCCCACCACCACCTAAACCAGACATGTTGGCCTGTAATCCTTTTACCCCGGAAGTGGAAGCAGGAAGCAGAAGATCAAAGTCATCCTTAGCTGAACAGTGAGTTTAAGACAAGTCTGGATAACATGAGACCCTGCCTTAAAAAAGATACCTTCTGGGGCTGGAGAGATGGCTCCGCAGTTAAAAGCACTGGCTGTTCTTCCAGAGGACCTGGGTTCAATTCCCAGCACCCACAGGGCAACTCATTGTTGCCTGTGACTCCGGTTTCAGGGGATCTAATACCTTCACACAGACATACATGCAGGCAAAACACAAATGCATATGAAATAAAAATAAATTAATTTTAAAAAGATACCTTCTTCATCATATATTTCTTTGACTCTGATTAAAATATACTACACCCCCATGTTCACCAATAAACTTCAACATGCTTTGTTTGAATAGATTTCATATGGGCAGAATCAGTGCTGTGAGTGGTTAAGGGTTAAGGGTATGTTCTGAACATCCCACTGAATGTCTTAAAAGACTGGATGTACTCATAGGTTTGCTATAGTGAGTATAAAGTATAGGAGATCTGCATAGTAGAAAGAGAAAAGAACAATGTCTCCTAGCATCTTGAGAGGTCCTCATAGCTATTCACAGAGTTTTCAGCTACGCTCATCTCTGTGGCCGCTGGACAATACTTTGAAACAACTCTTTCCGAAGCTACTCACCATCATTTCGGGGTGAGGACCCAGATCTGCAAACTCCTCAGAGCAATGAAGATCAGCAACTAGATGGAACTAAGTCACCAAAGCTAAGGCTGACTACTCTGGATTACCATTAATACTAATAAGATCATGATTCAGGGCCTCCAAAGTGACCAGTTCAGATGATGGAGCCCAGCAGGGCCCAGTGTCTAGAACGCTGAGAGCCCTCCTCAGGCTGCTGCTGGCTGGCCAGGGAACTCCATCAATCCCACTCTCCCTGCCTCTGCACCACTGTGATGACAGGCATGCTGGGCCACATTCAGCTTATTATTTTATTTTATTTTTTGAGCTGAGGATTGAACCCAGGGCCTTGCGTTTGCTAGGCAAGCGCTCTACCACTGCGCTAAATCCCCAACCCCAGCACATTCAGCTTTTTATATGGGTGGTGGGGATCCTAACTCAGGTCCCTGTGCTTGCACAGGAAGTGCACTTACTCACTGAGCCTCCTCCCTTGACCAGATGCAAACATCACTTAGAGTTATTACAATGAACTTGGAGAGTGCAGAGCAAGAATAAAGTAAGCAGCCTGAGGAGGTGGGTTTTGGAGACGTTTCAGGATCCCGTGGATAGGAAGGAGGCTAGGATTCCCAGCAGAAGGGCTACAGCACATCTTTGTGCATTGCATGTAAGCTCTGGGAAGGAATAAAGAAGAATGGAGATGAGGTTGGGATCACCAGGCTCCAAGCGAGTACAGCTTGTGTTAAGGAGCATTTCTTCATCCTGGAGACACTTCCCCAGACTTGGACGCTGATGATGCTCTCCATATCTTGCAGTCGTTAAGAAAACACTCAGTATCACTGCATGTCCATTTCCCAGGGCAATAGGGTGCCTTGGGCTCTGTGTCTGAAAAATGAGAGCCCTGCTGGTGTACTTACCCTGTCTAGAGATGAATCTTGGATAAAGGACTTCTGTTGTCAAATACCATGCTGATTCATGCTAGTCACTGGAAGTTCAGTGGTTAGTGAAGCTCCTGAACCCACAATTTGACTACAAAGTGGTCCCTGATGTGGTTTGCAGTTTGTCTTCTATTTGATTTCTCCTCGACAGAAGACAAGTGTAGGGGTCTTGGGATGTAGCTTGGTTGGTAGAGTACTTACCTAGAATACATGGAGCCCTGGGTTTGATCCCACCATCACATAAGCAAGATGTGGTAAGTGCATACCTAGAATTCTAGCTCTCAGGAGGTGGAGACAGGAAGATCAGGGATTTAAAACTGTCATTCGAGCCAGGCATGGTGGTGCATGCCTTTAAACCAGCACTCAGGAGGCAGAGGCAGGAGTATCGCTGTGAGTTCAAGGCCAGCCTGGTCTACAGAGTGAATTCCAGGACTGTCAGGGCTATGTAGAGAGATCCTTTCTCAAAAACCAAAACCAAAACCAAAACCAAACAAAGTTGTCCTTGGCTATGTTGCAAGTTTGAGGCCAGTCAGAAATACATGAGACATTGTTTCAAAAAAAGAAAAGTAAAAGACAAAAGATCTGTGTGAATTAGATAAAGTCTATCATTTAAGGTGTGACACAATTTCTGACTTTGAAATCTAATGTATGTCTGTGCAGCCTGTTAAAATCTGTGCTCAGGGTTATGTTGTGTCCAAATACAGAGGCCCTTCCAACCTTCAGGCCTTATAATGAATCATGTCTTTCTGCTTCTGGCTCCTTCTGATCATGGATCATGGATCCAGAGAGCTGTAACCTCCCTTTCAGCAGCTCAGTTGGGTCAAGGCTCTCCAGTGACTGTATGCCTGGATACTACTATAGAAGGAAGAAGGCTAGCCCTTCATTTGCTACAAGGAACTCCTATGAATAATTCTCCCTCTGTCTCAACCTCCCTGATTTTCTGAATCTATGCATTTGATTGCCTTGAACTTCCAAGACCTACCTGGTAATGGTTTGAACCTTATTGGTTGTATGAGTTCACACCCCAATAGTATTTTAATCTGCCATGCCTACCTGGTCCCCAAAGCTTTGTTTGAGCTTGGCTGCCTAACCGTCCTTTTGTCTGAGTTAGCTCTTCACATGTTCTTCTCCATACCTTGATTTGACATTCAGGTCATCTTTTTTATATCCCAGGCTATATATAATGGTGAAGAGGTGAAGACAAGTTATGAAATGAAGTGAAAATCTGACTTGATTTTAAAAAGTTGTTAATCCCTTATAATTCAAACTATTTCCTTGGGCTACGGAGATGAACCAGAGGGTAAGAGCATTTGCTGTGTAAGCAAGAGGACCTGAGTTCAGATCCCTGGCACCTGTGTAAAAAGTGGGGCATGGCTGCATGCACACCTGTAACTGCAGGGCTGTGGGGAGAAGAGACAAAGGGACCACTGGGCTCCAGGTTCTGTCTGAGACCTTGTCTCAAGACAATAAAGCAGGAAAGTGATAGAGCAGGGCACTCAGTGTTCTTCCCTGGTGTCCACACACATGCACGGGTGCACCCACACACACAAATATTTCCTGATCTTTGAACCATAGGAAAACTCGGGATGTATTAGAATTTGGAGATCCCATTCTTTACTACTGAAAAAAAAAAAAAAAAAAAAAAGCTCAAAGGGGCATGAAGAAAGTAATCTCCATGAAAGAGGATGTAGGAATGCCACTTGCTTATAGAGTCTCATTTCATTTTTAATTAGAGTTATCATTGTATCTCAGGGGGTGTCTGGAGGCTTCATTAAATCTACCAGCTTCCACGTGACATTTAAAACTGGTGATGTTTAAAATCTTGACCACATCAAAATGATAACAGTTGCAAGGGAAATGTGTGTGTGTGTATGGTCCAGGGGCTTCCAGCAAAGTGCTTCACTGCTATAAGATGAAGACTTCCCATAGGTCCATGTGAAAGGCAGCCCTCTTTTCTTGGGTACGTTTGATTCACATCCACCTGACATTCCTAGGTTTTCACAGTATCGAGTTACAGCTTTAGAATCTGTCATTGAGAGCCCATTTTGTGATCTGGTCTTACAATGTCCTCTTGGAGTTCCTCCCTAGCAGTCTGCCTTCTAAGTGGAGTTCACCAGGTACCTTTTCAGGCTACCACTCTGAGTGCAAACCTACAGCTATGACATGTGTTCCAGACCTTTCTCCTACCTTTCTACATTGACATCCAAACCAGTCACTGGCTTAGACTTTCAACCTTCCAACTGGTACTTCATCACAGAACTACTAAGAATCAGAGTTTCTCCCGTGAGTTATCTCACAGACTCACAGTGG